ATGGGCCAGTTTAACTTGATTTTGATTGTTTTTTCTGGCCAAGTGTTTAATTGAAATGGGATCTAAAAGCAGGGAGAAGTATCACACACATGCACACACACACACAGAGGCATATCTGAAAGCTGTGGTAGACAGTTAGCAGAGCATTTCTCTCTAGAAGTCCTGCACAGATGACTCACTGAAAACAAAGGATACAGAGAAGTCCCTTCTGTCTGCATTGTTCCATTGTCCCAAGATGTCTGTAGCCTCCAGAGGCAAGAATTAGGACAATTTTTATTGATTTTGTGTCATTGTCTGTTGTCAGAAAGGTGCTGGACCTTGGAGCTGATCTTTGTGAGTAAAAGGACAATCTGTATCCAGCAAGACAAACCATAGTAGGAGTAAATACTGTCTTACAGCATCGCTTCATAAGCTTAATTTTTCTGGTGGTGACATCTGTGTACTCTCAATCTCATGATACTAGCAGGACATAATTTTAAATGTACAAGTAAATATTAAATGATGGGTACTCCTTCAGAAAAGCTAGTACAATGTGGCTCTGCATAGGCAGCTCATGTTTTGCTCTCGCAATGCCAGCTTAAATTACAGATAATGAAAATGAGTAAAAACTACCTATGTTGAACGTGGCATTAGTAAACTTAATACACAGACTATGTGAATAGCAGAAATTCCTCCTTGTCTTTATACACAAAACTAAAACACATTTATAGAACTATTACAGTTAGTGTAAAAAAATTCCTGTCAATGAAACATAACAGTATTTAGGATTTTTTTTTTTTTTTTGCTAATTTTAGACATGGTAGACACACATCTAACTGCATAAAAATAAATAGACTATAACTAATGTCTCACTTACAAATGTAAATACCTTACTATGTGCACAACATGCATGTATATTAAGCACACATTTATGTAAGCAAGATTTAAAATGTTATGATTTGATAACTGACATGTTTGAATGACTGAAGGTGTCTAGACTTTGCTGAAGAATTAATCGAGTTAATCTGAATACATACAGACAGGTTTTGAAGTTACTGAACTATTTTGTGTGGTTTAGGATTTCTCAAGCTATGCTGCTTCTTTTCTTATGAAGTGTATTCATAAACACACCTATTGCATTTCCCTTGATGGTGTCTGACTTCTCTTATACAGGAGCAATGCTGAAGAAACTAGTCAGGTGGTACATAAACATGCAGATCTCAGAAGAAAAACATATTAGTGAGAGAAAAAATTTTTAAATTATCTTTTCTTGTAAGGAGACATTTTCTCTGGGATTATGTCATGCATCAAATCAACAGTACGCCTCTGCTTTTGAATTCAAATGTAATGAAACTGAAAACTGAGGAATAAGAATCTTACACCTTTCTAATTATTTCTGCTTGTTTCATTTAATTTATTTGAATAATTACTTATTCATATGCAAAATGTACAGGAGTAGAATTTCCATCCATTGTTCTGAAAGGCAATAAACATTAGCAGATTTTCACAGAAGTAAAACAGTTGTAAACCATGACTGAAATATTATTTGTTTTGTATATTAGAAAAAACTGCCACATTGTGATAATGCAAGTGTATTTCCAAATACAAAACTTCACAAGTCTTACCATAACATTGAGTTATTAAATTCAAAAACTATTATTTGGACCAAATATCAAATACAGGGGAGTTTTAAGTGAGTAGAGCAATTGATTGTTAGCTTGCACTTTGGTCATAAATATGGGTTACATTCCAGCACACAGAAAATGGCTGTGCTCACCATGTCAGACTTGTCAGTTGCTGATTTCACCCCTCAGTGAGGTAACTTTATGGCCATGCAATTCTTCAAAACAGATTGCCAAGTTTTCAGTCCCAGCATGATAGTACTGGTGCTCAGCTGGGTGATCATGAAAGCAGCAAGATTATCATGGGGCAGTGACGTATTTCAGTCACAGTGCTGAGAGATCTGTGCTGGGTTACTATTCATATAGAAGTCGAAGAGAGTGTCAAAATTCCTTTTCCATTTGGATGGTAAATCTACAGTCCAGGCTAGAAAAGACATGCAGTGTTGTTAGAACAGAGCAATAAATGGATGGCAGCTGTTATAGCTGGTCAATTATTATTTCTCCTTTATTGCTTTTTTAACTGAAGATAAAATTTTACAGTTGCAGTGAATGGTTTGTGGTTTTTACTTGGTTTTAAGATCATTTGGCTTTTCATTGTCTGTTCTGTGTTTCTTGATGTATTAAAGACGAATCATAGCCCAGATTTCCCTCCATTTGTCACAATGCAAGACATTGCTTTCAGTTAAAAATTTTAATTAAGTTAAAAAAATTAAAAAGTTTTCTGTGAAATATGTAAAAATATTTGACTGATATAGAGTGTGCTGGATTATGCCCTTTTCTGACTTGTATTTCTAGACCTTGTGATTGTAAATAATAATCAACCATAGCCAATGCATGAAATACGAACTATTCTCAGAAATCTCATCACAGCTGTCTCTTTCTCTATTTTTGGTGCTTTGTTGATGATCCTCAGTTTTCTTCATTTTTATAAGTTTTGAAAAGCCAGAAAATTTATGCCAGCACAGATTGTCATGACAGATTTGTTCTAAATATCAAAATATATACAAATACAAGATTCCTGAACAGCGCAAATTAGAAAAATCTGTAAAATAAGTGGTTGCCTCTTTTATTTTACATTACTTAATTCTTGTAACTAATGTGTAAATACTTATCTCTCCTTTCCTTCTTTTTCTCACTGTTTTATCTGTGAGTGCCATCTATAAAAAATTTATCTGTTTCTTAAAAAAATTCAGACAACTTTACACAGGCATCTTCTGTGATTGTGTATTCTGCATGATAGAATCCTGATTCTTTTATAGAAGTCTGATTTTTTGTATTTTATTCACTTTAGATTCCACAGAAATTTAATGCTTATTAATAATGTAACTGTAAGGATTTGAATGAGGATATATTTGACATTTAATTTCACAAGCACTGAGTTTCATAAAAAAGCCATGTTACTCATAATAGCAGGAAACCTAGCACAATTACTAGGTAATCGCAGACAAAGACATATACCAAAGTGGGAGAAACGTTTCTGCTTACAGCAAATTGTAAGTATGAATAATAAACAAGATCATTTGTCAGGGTATTTCTTCCCTTCTCCCTCTTCCCCACCCATTCTCCCCCTTCCTACAATTCTCGAATAGCAAATGTACTTCACAGAGGTAGTGTACCTTTGGGCTTAAAAATGGCTGGTTAAGTTTTTAAGAGAAGAAATCTCCAGCACGCAGAGCGTGTGCGTAGGTATCTCAGGCTATGCAGCATCTCCAGCTACAAGGTCGGGTACTTAGGATGTTCAAGACCAACTCTCCACTCAGTTGCCATGGTTTTACAGTACTACATATTATCAAAAGTAATTTGAGTTTTTATCAGCATTTTGTGGCACAAGGGTTATCTTTTGGCAATGGGTATTTTTATGGTTGCATTAAGAATGATTTGCTCTTACTTTTCTTTCTTCATTTGCCCCATCCCTTGGGTGTTCAAGGCAAGGTTGGATGGTGCTCTGAACAGTCTGATATAGCAGAAGATGCCTCTGCCTGTGGCAGGGATGTTGGAACTTTGTTCCTTCAAATTAAAACCTCTCTGTGATTAATTTCTGAGTATAGTATGTGCAGAAATAGTCTTTTGGTTCCTTTTCCTCCCCTTAGGAGTTGTTTAGAGGTGCTAGGCTGTCTTCTAGTTAACTGTTACCTGCTCACCCACCATGGCACCAAACAAGAAAGGAGAAGCTTCAGTAATCTCTGTGAGATTTGCTTATTGGGAAAGTGCAGCAAATCCAAGTGCACTAGGTCAGGGCTCTTTCCATCATGCTGCACGAACCTGGATGACATGACAGGATATTTGTGGGCATCTCAGCCACTGCAGTAGGCCACATTCTTGTAAGCACAGACCTTCATTTTCCAGGCTTTTAAATGAATACAGCAACCAAAATTACTTAAAGTAATAGGCAATTTTTTTTTAAACATATAACAATAAAATCAGGCAGCAGATCACGACAGGCATCAGTCCCAGCAGCCTGCAGCAGCATTCGTAATATGTCCTAAACCTCAGGGTGCAGTTTGGCATTACAGCTATACCATCCTTGTTAGGGTGTTGCAGCACTTTCTTCCTTTTTCTTATTTTGGTGTTGGGATTTTTTTTTTAATTGTGGTCTTTTACTGCATTTTATTGCAGCCTCACATTGAGACTCTCTATCTAGTTTCATCAAAAGGAAAACATTTGTTATGTATTTGTTTATTTTTTTTTTCTAGAGTGAAATTGCTGGTGATCAGCCAGATCTTGCTGTTGGTGGGTCAGGTACCAGGCAAGTGGCCATGCATGCAGCTAGGATTACTGGCTGTGACAGAGCACTCTCAGTTTTGCAGTAATGTGAAACAAATAACGTCCTAGTCTGTTTAAGAATGGTGTCTCAAGGCAACTTTAGTCCATATTGAAGTGGTCCTATTTCCATTTGCCTGTATATTACCTCTCCTAAGTGGTTGCTCCCAGTCACTCATTTCCAGTGTTATGAGCGCCTTTGCTCTTCTGGTCCTATGCATGAAAATATTAGTATTCATTACAGTACCCCTCTGCTGCTATAAGCATGTCAGACATTTGATAAATCTTCAATACCCATTAACTAGGCCACTCCTCTCTTTTGCAGTGTGTGACAAGAGAGCACTGAAGTCCTGTCCAAGATGCTGCCTGTACAAGTAGTGCTTGTCCTAAGCACAGTCTTATTCAGCATCTGAAAGTGTTTTCTTCCTCAGATTCAAAAAGTACCTGCTAGATTGAAAGGATGGTATTAATGATGATTTAAAGGAGAAGGTTTCTGAATGTGCTCCATTTCTTTCTCTAACCTCAACATTTCTTCATTGTAACTTTCCACTATCTTAAAGATTTTTGTGATTATTTCCCTTCTTTAGTCCATGTCCATCTTTCATTACAATTTCTCCTTTTTTATCTCTTGTTTTCCAGTTGCGATCAAGCTCAGAGATTGGCCAGGACATCCTGAATGACTGCCTTGCAATCCAGCCCCTCCAGCCAGCCCTGTCACCACAGGATGCTGTAGATAGTACCATGGGACACTCCCCAGGGGCTGCTTGTGATATTTACCCAGGTACAAAATAAGACAGATAAAAAGCTGATGTATTATGCCTCACTTAATAATAGGGATCATTTTGTAGAGTGGAATGTACTCTGAAATCCGTATTTATCTCATAAAAAGGGTAGAATATGAAAGGCAATATAGAAAAAGACAGATTTTGAACATGTTTTTATATGTTTTTCAGAGGGAAGGAGAACCAATCATAGTATATCCATCAAAAGACCTAATACAACATAGATGGATATTTTTGCTCTATAGGCATTTGATTCTGCTGCAATTTACTTCTACCGTTCCTTGCAGAATCTTGAATAAATTACTTCATTTAAAATCACAGTATTTTTCCTCTGCCTTATTCATGGATCACATATCAGTTTTTAAATTGATCTACAGTAAGGAACTGAAATGCTGCATTATGACTTCACATATTTTGACTATAAATATATAATAAACACATTTGCAGTAATAATGTAATAATCCTATTTTATTTTTTTCAGTTAAATATGAGATTTTCCTACTAAAATACCTTTGTCATACTTGCCTACGTGTACAATTTTTTGTTAACATTTGAAACTATCAGTAAGTTATGAGTGATAATAAACCTTAAACCTCAAGAGGGCAATGGGCAGGATGTTAACATTTTTAATGCAATATTTTAGTAGTTGTGAGGGCCTCTGTTTTTAACTTTCAGGCAAAATGCATTATGTTTTTTTTTATCACTCCAACTTTTAAGTGAGAACCAGATGTAGGAAATTAATGAATTGGCTTCATTGATGTTATCTGCAGTGATGAAAATGACATTATATGAAGTGGCCACTTCAATAAGTGGTTTTATTTTACTGAGAGGTTTGTAAAGCTAGCACTTCTATTTCATGTTTTTGTCAAGGATACTGTGAGTCACACAATAATTGATGATGATGTAGGTTTATATGACAAAAATCAGGACATTTAAAGCTGTGATTGATTATATTCTAGTTTATTAAGTAGTTGGTATTACTGGTATGCTGTTAACTTTTAAATGCCTTGGTCTGAGTACTGACTGAGTGTGACATTTACTATGTGAAAGAACAGGGAAATTTCACATTTTAAAAATGTGATTTTGGCCAGAGAAACTCTGGGAACATGTAGTTGGTTATAGTTGTTTATTTTACATTGTGCATTGAGAGGGAGTTGGATAGTGAGGAATGTTGAGATTTTTTTAAAAAAATTATTTATGGTTTTACCAAGTGTAACATGCAAAACTGAGAAATAACAAAGACTCAGCTTTTTCTTTTCTTTTCAAGTTCCTAGACAGAATGGAAACTGGGATGGGATAGTGTGTCAGATTTCAGAGATTGAGGATATTCTCACAGGAGATGGCCGCAGCAGTCTGTGGCCATCCTCCTTAGCTTCCAGGCTACGCTTAAATGTCCAGCTCAGTCCAAACACAGGCTGACTGTCGCTTGAACAAGCTGCTGCCCATGACAAGCTGGGTAAAGCTGCTGCCTCCAGCCAGCCCTCAGCTGGCAATTGTCTGCCATCATGATGTTTCATAGACAGCTCCTGAGACTGAGACATTACTTTCTGTAGTCTCATTCGTTCATTGTCTTTCAATACTTGATGTTTGCAGCACTACTAACTATGAACCTTCTTTGATATAATAATATATTTCAGAAGTTTATTTCCTGGTACTGCTTCCTGTTATATGGCAATTTTTATGGTAATTAATCAATGTACTCTTATCAGCATTAATTTCTGTGTAAGTAATAATCTGCTTTCTCTTACGTCTTCCCAGCTATCTATAATTTGGCAAAGTTCTTGTAGTTCTAGTCATTTGTGTTGTTTCACATCAGTTAGAGGGTACTATGTCAGGCATAAAGCAGTCGTTGCCACTCCATTTTGACAACTACTTGATCCAGTTGAAATAAATAGTTTCATTAACTACTCATCAAGGATGCTGCAGGATGTGAACAAATTAGATAAATTTGACAGGCAGGGAATTATTTTATTGAAATGGCAGCAGGAAAATTATTCCTGTCCAATAGAGAGGAAAGTAAAATGCACAAAAACCTAAGTGTCTTGCCTCAGAGAATCTACCCTTCAAAATTCACTGAAAACTTTTTTTTTTTTTTTTAATATAGCTTTGGGACTTCTGAAAAGTTAAATACATTATTTTTTACTGGGTACTGTTTGAGACAGCACATTACCTGAAGTGTCTCTGTGCTACTCTTAAAGTAGAAGGAGGAATAGATTTTCATTCTTCCAGTGGTGTCCAATCAAACTTTTCTTATGTGAAGGTGACTTCACTTACTATTGATGCACATTTAAAGCAAAGGTAGGTTTTTTTCTTGTAGAAGAAGTCTACAGAGTAAATGTTTGAAAGCAAATTATTAGAAATAGGTAAGAAATGTCAAAAGTACCTGTTTAGATGCAAGTCCATTTTCACTTACATAGTAAAACACCTGTAGTGACCACTGTATAGTTTCTCAGTACTGATAAAATACAGAATCTATAGACACAGACACATTTAAATGAAATACAACAATAACCTTTTTGAATACAGATCTGTCACTTGGAGTTAAGTCTTCAAAAGAGCATTTTCTTATCCTGTAGTCTTTATAACTTCATAGAAGAAATCCAAACTGACTATTATCTTGCTAACACAGTGAGGTATCATTACAGCTTCTTTGCTTAAAACTATCACAAAATTATGTTTATGGGTCTAAAGCAAACAGACTAATGGCTAAGCATTGTGATAGTATCTACATTTAAATTTTGAACACTACCTAGGCATTTTGGTTTACTCGATTCACAGAATGAAAATGAGAGCTATACACTCATATTAACATGGGGTTGATGTTTTCTTCCTGCTGTGAAATGTTATGAACTTATTTTGTATAGAGCAATCTGGAATCACTAAACCCATAAGAATCATAAATAATGCAGCAGAAAAAAACCCATCTTTTTACTGTGCTGTTTGGATAAAACTTGACCATTTCATATTTAAGCATCAGTCAGAATGTATAATTAATTTATAAGTAGTTACTGAATATCACACTAACTTCTGCTCCAGAGCAAGCAAATGATCTTTCTAAAGCTTGTCAAATGCATAATTTTCTTTGCAAGTTGGAATTTAAAAATTATATCAGTAAAGTTACAGAACTTATTTGAATTCTGAGTATTTTTTAAATAATGTCTTACTCTGTATTGTGAAACTTTGACCTAACTACTTCTATGTGTATAACTTGCTGTGCTTTGCTTGAGTTATGCTTTTCTTTGTTTTTTTTCTCCACTGAAGTTGTTCTAAGCTGGGTGCTCTGTTCACATAATAAGAAAAATTCCAGTCCCCCAGGAGTTTTTATCTAAGGTAACGATAGGAAAGTAGGTAGGTACAACAGGCAGGTAGAGGTTAAGGACACATACAGAAATAGATTAATGAAATTATTAATTATCGAAATAATTTTATTAAAGAACCTGTCCTAATGAGTCCTAAAAGATGTCTGAAAAAAAAGCAATCTAGTTTTCTTTTTTAAAAAGTGGTCTGTTCTTTTCTTTTAAAATGGTTTTTTAAGGGTGGTAGCCTTGGAAAGTAGTTACAGCTCATTCCTGTAAGACAAAAACAAGAATGAGGAGGAAGAACTGACATATGAATGGCCCTTGCTATGAAAAACAGAATTGTACTTGATGTGTAAGGAATGGATGCAAAAGGAGCAGTAATGTAGGACTACCAATAATGAAGAGTTTCTCTGTTTTTGCCTTTTAGGCTGAATTTAAGTATTGCCTACGTATCTAGAACTCCTGCTTAATGTGATGTAGTCGTAGGCTGGACCATACACACATTACAAGGGGCAAAAAGTGCTAATGATATTATCTTAGTTTAAGGAGGACAGTTTGCTTTCCCTCAGACTTGCCCTTTTATTTACCAGTTTTACTTATGAGTTTATCATTTCTATTTTGAGACAACTTCATGGTTCTCCAAAAATTGATGTAATGTTTGGGTTCCCATTTTTAAGAACATTTACCAATGGGCTGCTACAAACATTGTAGTCAACATGGCCACTTGCAACTTTTGTAGTTTGTTCATCATGATGAGACTGAACTTTGGAAACTGCAATCCACTAAAAGATAAGAAAATGAAGGGCAGAGATGTGATCTAGAGATGCCATTTCAGGAATGGCTTAAAAGACTAGTCCAGACCCTGCTTTTTTGCTTCAGTACTTTAATGTTTTCCAGTAACTATGATCTGCCTGTAAAATACCTGAAAAGACATAGAAAGGCCAGCAGTGCAGGTGGTCCATGTGACAGACCAGCTTTGGAGACAGATTTATTATCTTAAAAATGCAATTTTTACTTCTGCTGTACTTCTTAATGCATGATGGCTTCTTGAGTTTCATGTTCTCTGGAGACTTCAGATTTACAGATGAGCTGAGGATAGAGGTAAAACAGAAAATAGGTTTTTCATTTGCTGGGCTTACCACTTACAACTCAACACAGCACATATCCACATATTCCTGGCTACAAAATCCTGTGGACTTCCTATGGGAAGTGAAAGAGGGGAATATATGCAGGTGATGCTTCCAAGTGCAAAAATTATTTCATATTTTTCCTTTTGTGCAATAGTAAATCAGTTGTTGTCAAGGAGCTCATAAATATTCCTTACAGAAATAGAAGGCTATATTTAGTAATTAAAAAATAAAGCAACCTTGCAAATGTATGTATGTAACTAACTGAGCTACACAATTAAATATTCACATTGTCTTTCTGCATGGTAAGAACTCTCAGCCCTGCTGTCAATAGCCCTACAATCAATTCATACTGTCAATAATTAGAGGATAGATATTTTGGTGGCAGAAATTGTTTTTAAGAGTGCTGGTAGTAAATCCAAGATGCTCTTCAATTAGAGCACTTCTGGTAATTTGCAAATTCTGCATTTAAATATGTTCCATGAAATTACAGGTTTCTGACTCCATTGACAAATAACTTTTTTTGGCCTTAGATTCTCTGCCACTTTCAATGCTACTTTTTGGCTTTCTTTTTCTTAAGGAAGCCATATTCAGAATCATCCTTTTCTCTTTCAAACACCTAAATTGTTCCTATGCATTGTGAGGGTACATGTGAATTTAGCTTTGCAGAAAAATTCTCATGGAAAATTCTTATGTACTGATAAATGGATATGTGATGAGACTCCAGAAAAGAAAACACGACTCCTCCTTCTCTTTGGCTGAAACTTTGTATATGTCACCCAATCTGAGGTTCATAGCCGGGACTAAGTTGGGGCTAAGCTATGTCCATCTTGTAAATAATGTTGTTGTTTGGACTTTTTAAGGGATACAGAGGAACAACATTCATGATTCTTTGGCTTTTATTGAGGTTGCTTGGGTTTTTTTCAAAATATCTGAATATGTTTAAAGTTGCTTTAAAGGTCTTCGTTTATCCTGAATTGATAAGCCTTCTTGTAGCAACCCTTTTTGTTACATAATCACAGACTGCAAGAATCATAGAATGGTTTGCATTGGAAGAATTCTTAAAGATCCTCTGATTCTACCCCCCCATTCCATGGGCAGGGGCACTTCCATTAGACCAGGTTTCTCGAAGACCCATCCAGCCTGGCCTTGGACACTTCCAGGGATGGGGCATCCACAGCTTCTCCAGGCAAGTTTTTCCAGTATCTCACCACTCCACAGTAAAGAATTTTTCCTGTCATCTAAACCTGTTCTCTATGGTTTAAAACCCACTTAAAACTAACAATTATACATCTTTGTGTTTGGACCTACGTAGTGATGCTATACTGGAGTCAGTGAGCATGCTGGTTGTCACAAATATTTCACAGATCTACAGAATCACTGGGTTGGAAAGGATCTTTAAGATCGTTGAGTCCAACACATGCCTTAACACCTCAACTAAACCATGGCACCAAGTTCTACATCCAATCTTTTTAAACACATCCAGGGATGGTGACTCTACGACCTCCCTGGCAGGCCATTCCAGAACTTTATCACTCTTTCCATGAAAAACTTTTTCCTACTATCCAACCTATATTTCCCTTGGTGCAGCTTAAGACTGTGTCATCTTATTCTGTCAGTTGCTGCCTGGAGAAAAAGACCGACCCCCGCCTGACCACAACCTCCTTTCAGGGAGTTGTAGAGAGTGATAAGGTCACCTCTGAGTCTCCTTTTCTCCAGGCTAAACACCCCCAGCTCCCTCAGTGGTTCCTCACAGGATTTGTGTTCCAAGCCCCTCACCAGCCTTGCTGCCTCCTCTGGACGTGCTCCAGCATCTCAGGGTCCTTCCCAAACTGAGGGGTCAGAGCTAGACACAGCACTCAAGGTGTGACCTCATCAGGGCCGAGTACAGGAGAAGGGTGACCTCCCTGCTCCTACTGGCCACACTGTTCCTGATACAGGCCAGGATGCCCTTGGCCTTCTTGGCCACCTGGGCACACTGCTGGCTCATGTCCAGTCGGCCATCACCAGTACTTCCAGGTCCATTTCCACCTGGGCACTGTCCAGCCATACCATCCTCAACCTATAGCATTGCAGGGGGTTATTGTGGCCAAAATGCAGGACTTGGCACTTGATTTATTAAATTTCATCCTACTGGACTTTGCCCATCCATCCAACAACTCCAGGTCTCTCTGCAGAGCCCTCCTACCCTCCAACAGATCGACACACTCTCCCAGCTTAGTTTCATCTGCAAATTTACTAATGAAAGATTCAATCCCCTCATCCATGTTGTCAATGAAGATATTGAACAGAAGTGGCCCCAGCACAGACCCCTGAGGACACCACTGGTGCCTGGCCCCAGCTGCATGCAGCACCGCTCACCAGCACTCTCTGGGCCCGGCATCCAGCCAGTTCTGAACCCAGCAAAGAGTGCTCCTGTCCTACCAGCTTTTAAGGAGTGTGCTGTGGGAGACAGTGCCAAAGGCCTTGCTGAAGTCCATGTACACAAAACCAGCAGCCTTTCCTGCATCCACCAGGCAGGTCACCTGCTCATAAAAAGAGATCAGGTTGGTCAAACACGACCGACCCCTCCTAAAGCCATGCCTTGCTCAGTTTCATACCATCTGAATCAGGAATTTAATGGGATCAGGATTGAAAAGGCATTGGGAAGCTATTTACTGGCAACACTTTGAGCAAGTAACTCACATGTAACACAGCCTGAACCAGCTAGAAAATGTGCAAGCATGGCTTGCAATTCTTGAAATAAGAATTTCAAAAGTTCGTTCCTTTGTTTTTATCTTCTGCACTTGTCCTGATGCTATGATGAGGAACAGACATGGAAAAAGTAACTTTTGGGGTGCATGAGCAAAGTGGAAAAAAAAATTCCCCTGTCTTAGTAAGAAAATGTCCTCAGCTTCTTCTTCGCAATTTACTCTGCTGTTTTAAGTGATGTCTCATCTTCCTGCGAGACCTGCCTCCTCTGTTCCTCTTTAAGGTTTGGGATGTCTTCTGCTGTCAGATGTCTGTCGTCACTTGGGTTGTGATTAGGAGGCTCTGATCCACACACAAATTAGCAAAGAGCAGAGCCTGGCACCAAAGTCAGCCTCCGCTCCTCCAGCTTTGACCACCAGTGTCAACTTCCCCTAATCTTTGACATTACCTCTACAGTATCTGTGTTGGATGCTTTTATTCACAAAGTGGTTTCCTGTCTGTTGTCTTGCACTGTGTGTCATTTCCACCAGCTGAAAGATGTCCAGGGCAGCTCCTTAAAGGGGCTACAGCATGATTAGACTCCTGAGCGTTTTCTAACTCTGTCTTAGCTTGGTGAATTCCAGTGTGTCACAAAGGTGGGCTTGCAAGGATTAATAGAGTCTTTCCAAAAAGAGGCTGAGGACTTGGGAGATGAGGTGAATTTTCACCTTTTTGATCTTCTGTAGCAAAATTGACACTTGTGAATGAGGAAATGATGATCTGTGAAATAATTTCCTTGAAGACTGATCTATAGTGAGGCTACCTCTAATGCAGTCTTTCTTCTTCGAGGATTGCAGCATACATGGACATATTTCAGCCTAGAAAGATGTTTTACTACTGACAGTGCCCCCTGGGGAACTGGTTTAAACTCTAGGATTTTATCAAGAAATTCAAATCATTAGCTCCAACGTATTCACTAGCAGAATGAAAATTTTATAGGTATAATTTTACTCTGTAACCTAGGCCTGAACAATACTTTTTTTTTTTTTTAAAGACATAGGAAAATACTACAGACAAACAGAAGTAATTTTTGTCTTTTAGACAGACTATCTAATTCATTCACTGGGCTTATAAAATATTTAAGAGCATGAATTTGTCTACCAGTCAACATCAGCATAAGCTACCTGGCACAAATGTCAGTAGAAGTAGGTGGGTAACTGGATTTTCAGAGATACAAAGATTTAAATTTTTCTGATTTAAACTTTTTTTTTTTTTTTTTTTTAAAAAGGTGCTACCAGAAAATAAAGTTACAGGATTTGGGATCAACTAATTAGCTCATTTGAACAAAGTCTTATATTGCTTTTTGTTTACTCAGAAAGGAAACAGGTAGGAAAAATTCCTTATTAGAAAAAAATACAAGAGAAAACACACAGAAAATTATTAAGCTGTTAAAGATGGTTTAAAATTTGAGGAATCTGGGCCAATGATAGGATTTCTTCAAGAAATGTTTCATTTTTCCCCTCATCTGTCATTTTTACAGATAAGGGGAAAATGTAGAAAGCATTTCACCTTTTATGAAACTGTTCTTTCTGTTCGCTGGTTCTAAAAATACAGATCTTAGTAATATTGACACATCTACAATAGAAAAGTATAGAAGATTTGCAGCCTTATTCAGACAAAAAATTCTGAGACAATAAGCATGGCTGTGATCATTCATGCCTGGTTTTATGGAAATGTAATTTGAAAGCAGCAAAGAATACTTGCATATTTTCATGTGAGTCTTCTTCTTCCCTTTGTACAGAAAACAACACATCAGAAAACTCTTTGTTTTCTTAATTGCTAAGAGCTGGCACTACAGCTTAACAGGAGTGGTTTCATGTTGGTGTTTGGTCACTTATCAATATTGTTGTTGTTTGGTCAGTTATCAGTGTTGTTTCCTGCCTGATGATCATTATTTCTCTTTTACTTTCAGCAGCTGTGATCGCCAGCACACAGATAAATCAAAGTGGAGCAGCAGCTGGAGCAGTGTCCTTGTCCCACCCCAGCAGCCACTCTTCCCCAGGACACAACATACAGGGCAGTCCTCTGCATCCTCCCCAGATACCTCTTCTCACAGCTGCAGACTCGGAGAGGTAAGAGCCTGTGCTTCCCAGCTTGAGCCTGAGGCTGACGGTCTTCAGAGCTGCCAAGATGGGGGGACATACAATTGTTGGTGTACAGAAAGGCACTGGTGGCAGCCCTGGCCTAACAGCTGCTCTGGGTAGGGGTTTATCAGGAGGAGAGGTGAAATGGACTGTGTTATTCCAGTCTGAGAGGGAGATTTTCCATCCATCTCCATTTCAGGGACTTCCTCCAATCCCTTCTTGATCCCAATGAAGGGCCCAAGAAAGGAAAGTGATACCAGCTGCCACACTGAACTTCAGATGACCACAGCCATACCTTACAGAATGGGGGCCCTGAGGTTCATGTTTCTGTTTACTTGTGGGAGAAGAGTCATATTCTGTCAATATTCTCCCAATAATAAGCATTTCTGAAGGAAGACCTTGCCTTTTTTTTTTAATTGCCATTTTATGAAGAACAATAGAAAATGAACAAATATTTATTTCACTGGTTTCTGAGTTTGATTTATAGTCAGGATTTATTTTATGACAGTTATGCATGTTTTATTATATGCTGGTTAAGTATGGTAAATTCTATTATTTTAGATATTTCAGTGACATAAAAATCAATTGCTCAGATGTGTTTTGATTTTCATCCTTAGACATTCCCTAAATTATTTTTAGTACTCTTTCCAATGATTTAGATAGTGTATGGTACTACAGGTGTGGAAATCTATAGTACATTGAACCAGAAGTCTACCAAATCACAAGTCTGAAGAGGCCTAAGTAAATGGGTTTTAGTGGAAAAGTCAAGAAGATAACATCATCACACTAAATACTAAACTCTTACTATCTGCTCATGGATACTTAGACACTATTTTTAAAATTTCTTTTTCAGTGCTCTAAGTGATAAATTGCTGTATTTCACTAATGTATTTCAAATTATTTAATTTCCTTGAGTGACAGATATGACAGTAATTTGAAGAGTACAAAATCCCCAATTATAAACCTGAAAACAACATTCACTAGATTTCAATTACTGGTAAATGAGTATAATTTCTTTGGATGAAAGCAATATTCACTCTGTCTTGTATCAGGAAGATAGAAGAACATGTTGTGTCGGGAAATTAGCAACAGGTGAAAGTACGTTTTTATTTCAGACTTCACATGTGAATTCAGCCAGTTCTGCATCTGTCTGAGATGGAGCTTACTGCCTCATGATCCCTGGAGCTCATCTACTTGTTTCATTCCTTCCTCCCCACTCCTGCCCTCATGATCCTGGTCTTTTTCCCTTGTGCTGGCTCTGGCCCCCTGTGCACACCTCTGGGACTGTCCATACTCTCTTGCCTGACACCCAGGCTCTTCTGTCCCAGTACAGTTCCCTCTTCAATGCATGGCCTGTCCCTCCGTACCCGATGTTTGCCAGAGCATGAGGTGATAGGCAGGGACACATTAATAGTTTTTATAGGTATAAATGTAATTATAAAAGGCATTGATCTTATTAGCCCATTTCTGAGATTCTTCTGCTGTAAAACCATAGCAGAGGTGCCTAGAGTGAGACTTCCTAATTCATTGAATGCATTTCAGATATCAAGATAATGGAGTACTCTAGAGAATAATAAAAAGCTAACATGGTATACTCCTTTATCATGTGTTAAGTGTATACACTCTCTAAAAAGGCTTTAAGTGCTAATTCCCATATGTGGAGCTGCTTTACATTTAAAAAAAGTTCCAGTGTCTTCATTCAGGTAGTGTGACAAATGACAATTTAAATTCAGAAAAGGAAAAAAGTATTACAGCAGTGTTGGTTTGATTGCAATACATAGGGTAGAAGTTAAGGGAAATGTTTAAACAAAGAGCTAAGGCAACATCTGTATATTGAATCTAACACAGTACACTCACCTAGGGGCCTTGCGAGTAGGCTGTTACCTCACTTCATGGGTGTGATGAGAACAGCAAAAATGTGAACAAACCTTCAGCAGAGAAAGTGGCAGAGATAGTGACTTTGAAATGTGTGAATCATTCTGTTTATTTCACCCTCATTGTTTAGAGGACTGCAGGATTTAGGGATGCAAGTAGAGCATCTGTTGCCCTGCATGCTAGTAATGGTTGGACTAGGTGACCTTTGAAGGTCCCTTCCAACCCAAACTGTTCTGTGGTTCTGTGGTTTTGTGCTGTGTGGTTCCTGACACACTGTGCATGCCCAGGGTCATTTTAGAGCTAGGACAGGCTGACCAGCACTTGTTGCAGCAGAAGTCTGTATTTGTTGGACTGAAGCTGATTCAAACTGGCCTGGCTGTTTTATGATGCTGGGGGCCAAGCCTGTGCCACTTTTGGACAGCAGACTCAGTTTTACTAGAGACAGAAGCAGAAGGAAATAAGCATTTTGCCTACATTTCCACATACCATGGGATAGAAAAATAATGGGAGGGTTTCTTTTAAATCTTTCTCTTCTAGGTGGTGGGAGGGAAAGTGTGGACTTGATTAAGCCTTATGTGGAACACATCTCACATTGCATTCATTATGTATACAAAACTCTGAGAACACATAGTGTACGGCAGTTAGAGAGTTTGAATCTAAGAAATCACTTCATTTATCAAAGGAGAGAGAATAAATAATAAAAGTGCAGATTTACACTTTGTCTATCCCAGCTCTTTGATACTAACTTTGAGTGCTGCACTAATATGAATACATTGAGGTGCCTGCTCACAGCTCCCTTCCTTAAATTCTTGTTTAAATTCCACTTGAATTCTTCTTTCGTGTTCTCACCAGAGAGAAGATGAGGTACTGGTCAGAGGGGTTGTTTGTTCTTTCTGCCATCCCTTCTCTCAGCTAGATTTTCATTTTCTTGCCCAAAATATTTCTGATATGCAAGAAGATTGCATTCCTGTCCTGGATTAGGGCAAATCTGGGAGAAAACCTCCAAAGGGGGCTCCCCCAGAAAACAACCCCACCCAGCTCTTTCCCCCACCAGTTCGGGAAGGATTCCTCAGAGAGAAGTGGAAAGAACCTGTTTATTTAACAAGCAAAACAGCCCCAGCACACAAAATGAACAATACCAGATGACAACACTTTCACTGATCTGAAAAGGATGACAAATTCAGAAAGTCTTTTCTGGGAGTGGTCGCTCTGTTTTTGCTCCCTCTGATGCTGGGGATAGCTGCTGCAGCCACAAGATGTAAATTCTTGGTGTTTCCCAGGTCCCAGTCCGGAGCAGGTTTTAATGGTTTCAGAAAGGGAAGGGTAAAAACAGTCCAGGGAACAATCTGGACCGCTTAGCTGAACTAACTAACAGAAGCAAGAAGCAAAAGCAGAGCGGGAGCGAAGCAGGAGCAAGAGTAAAGCAAAGCAGCAAAAAGCCAAGCAAAAAGCAAAAGCCGCACTATGTACTGCCCCGCCTCTCTGTCCCGCCAGCTGTGGGGGAGCAGGCTGATAACAAACCAAAACAAACCTTGCTCTTAAGAGCCAGTCTTGAAGGCACATTACATAATATCCAGCACTAACAGAACACACGACTGGGGATACAAGCATCATAACCTCACCCTAGGACAATTCCTTAAAAAAAAAAAAAGATTACAAGAACGACAACAACAACAAAAAACCCAAATAACCAAACTGAAACAAAAAAAACCCCAAACAAACGAACAAAATCCTCCGAAACCAAAACACTCACAAAACTTGTAGCAGATAAATCATTGGAGAGAAAGATGCATCATAGGTAGGTAAAAAATTAGGCTTTTGTTATTTTGGTCAAATTAATATATTCATAACTTTGGGAAAAACATCTTATTTTTTCAATTTTGTTCCTGGCAAAAGGTATGCTTTCCTTAAATGTGTTTCTAAAACATGTTTATTTGATTGTCACTGATAGGTGGCTAGACTAACTTATAGTGAAATATGCTGGGTTTCACAATGCTGTGTTACAAAAGAATGTTTCCTTCATGGACAGCAGACTGAGGACCTGTAAAGACAGTACGACACAGCATAAAGTGTGAGTTCAAAGAATGTGAGTTCACAGAAAGAATGTCAGAGCAGAGAATGGAGACATCATCCCAGATTTTCTGGATTTTCGTAGAAATAAAAAGGCATTCAGGAAGGAATGATCATGGATTTTTCTTCATTTAACATTGTCAGAAAGCTCTGCACTGTACAGGACAGTGTTGGAGACAGCAACCTCTTACAAGAAGCTTGTAGTTCAGTTCTCTGTCCAGCCAAACCTTGAGCTCAGCGAGGTGAAAGCCTGATCACCTTACTCTGTGAACTGCATAACATCATCTGGATATGTTCCCAAACTGCTGAAGCTCAGCAAAAAGGACTCAGCCAGTTAAAAGAGCAGCATGCCAATAAATTGTGTTTACAAGTTGTTCAAAGAAACTATGGCCTCTGAAGGAAAAAAAAAGAAAATCAGGTTTTTCAGCTTTTATGTTCAATTTCCACTTCAGCAACATATCTGTAGCAACCATAAGGATTCATTTTGTCTGAATGGTGACATATGCTTTAATTTACATTGCAAAGTTGAGGAAAAAAAAAGGAAGAATTAAGACAGAGCTACATCCAACAGAGTTACATAGTTGCTGTCTCAAATATTTAATGTTAGTAGCATTTTGTGCCATAGTGTAGCATGGATTAATGGTAGGCAAATTATGTCTTTTATATGCAGGTGCAGTTTCCTTTCTTTCAATATATACAGAAAAATATTTTAAAAATTTTTAAAAATACTCAGTTGCAGTGAAATAAATTGAGGAGTTGTGAAGCACTTGGGTTTCTAGGTGAAAAAACTTCTTATATATATTTTTGCTACAGAGACATAAGAGGTTATTTCCCCACTCAAAAAAGGACTTATTTGTAGATGGCCAACCATGATAAAATTAACTAAATTAAAGCACTATATAAATACACAATTTATAGTCTATATTATGACTCTTAGATTTCCTCTTCCCTTCCTTTTCCACACATTTCTTAGGTTGTTCATGTAGTTGTAGTGACTGTTTACTGGGCTAGCTCCAGTAAAGTAGGTGGCATTGTATGTGGCATTTTAACTAATCTCATCAAAACAGGTAAGCTTTGGTACCTTTGCCATCCATCTTGCTTACTACCAAATCTAGTCATTCCCCAGCAAGACACTTTTTCACAGCTAAAATTGGAAAAGAAAAAGAAAAAAATTAATGGCTTCAGAAACATTTCTGCTTGGATTTTGGATCAGGCATGGGACAGAACAACTTTCTGCAAATCTGACTGGTTCCTGATCGAATTGACACCTGGGCTTGACTGTAGCTCTTGATTGCAGTTTCCAAGTGGTTGCAGTCTCGTCCTGAGTGTTTCAGGAGCAAAATTAAATTAGGTGTTCTCCCAGGAATATAATGAGATTTGTTCAGACACAAATCTGGGCTGTGACAAGGACAGGTTTCTCTTTTGTTAAGCAGAAGGAAAGAAAAAGTAGATAACTATAGTCGTGGATATGGGTAAGCCACGTTGATTTATAAATAATTATAAAACCACTTATGTCTACTAAAAAGTAGTCCTGTCTGGCTGTAAAATATATTGTATTATTATTGGGAGAAATTTTTTTGGATGTTAAATCAAAGGTAAATCTGTAAAATTGTGCTTTCCACTTTTAGTTTTGAAAAGGATTTTTCCCATTAGTGGCTACTGGTTAAAATAATTTTTCAGAAATTAATTTTCCCAAATTAATCCTGAAAACACAATGGATGATATTCCATGATTTTAAAAATAATAATAGTATTTAAAAACTGTCTGTTCTTGGCTCTCAGTCTCTGGCAGGAGACTCGGGAGACATATAACCAGGTAGTTACAGCACTTTTTAAAATTCTCTGATATTTTTATCACAATATAACTACTGATTTCTCTTTCTAAAAAAAAAATTGTACAATAGTATTATTGTGAAATATGTGCATGCTTTGTTCTCTTCCTCCCTGGTATGTCTTTCAGTCTACTCTGCATCAGTTATCTGGAACAATTAAGTATTTGACACATTAAAGACTCAATGGTTCAGTAGAAACACCTTTATTTCCTCCACCCATATAGCATTTCTGAAGTAATATATATTTATGGAGTTAATATCACATTAACACCAGGACCATCCAAACCCTACCTAATATGCCTTAAAAATGTGCTTCTCACAGAAAACTGAATAGGCAGTACATCATCTAAAGTTCATCTTGATACTTGTTACACTCTAAATGTAGATTATGATTCACCAGAAGTGTAGTAAATACATTTCAAATTAAGTCAAAATCACATAGAGATAACATGTGACAGATACGATTCTTAGCTGCAGCATGAAAGACCTCATTTAAATACATGTATTTAAATACAAGACCTGTATTTAAATACAGTTATAACCTGTATGATGACCCTGCCCAGAGGTGTTCTGTAGAGCTGCTACTAGAGTTACACCTTCTGTTGTCTTCAGGGTGTGATAAAAACTTCCTTGACACTTTTTTAGGAAAACATGCTTTTTTATTGGGTTAAAAAAAAGTAATCTAGTCTATTGAGGCCCAGTCTCAGGACAACAGGAACCAGATCCATAGTTTAGAACACTGGCAGACTGTGTTAACTGCAGGCACTGATCCCTCCTAGCAGCCACTGAGCACACAGAGAAGGGTATTCCTCCTCAGCAGAGTCACAGCTTATTTTTAATGGTGGAGAGAGAGGCTGATCTGCAGCAATATTTGACATGCCACTTTCCACTCACCTTCTTGCAGGAATATCATCGTTCTTTTTTGGTGTTTGGGAATGTTTCCAACTCTCCTCTCGTTGACAAAAAAGTGACCCAGAGCCATTCCTGAGCTTTCATTAACTAGCTGAATCCCGTCAGTCTATTGGGTGGTTTGGGGCACAAAGAGAAGCTCTTAAAATCCTAGCTTTCTGTCTGCAAAAAAGATTGCATGACCCATCTGTAATATACTTTGAGGTATGCAGTTTCAAGGAAACGCGGAAAAAACTCAGTAAAAAGTTAAATTCCATAAAACTCTTCTGTAAAATCTTCAAAAGTAGTGCATATCCTTGTAGTGCCAGTAGTGCCAGAGCTGTGCAAAATATCCTCCTGAGGTGATGAACCTCTGTGGCTGCTACACCACCAGATTTGTTCTCAAGCATTCTCTCCTCTGCCAGTCTTGTAAGTTTACAGTTTAAGTCCAGATCAACATTTTGATGTAGTCAGATTCTGGAAGCAATTTAACATTTGCCCTTACCTGCATTATATTGACATCAGATTGTTTATTTTCAAATAGCTCTATGTAACATATGAAAATTTCTAGAGCCTAAAACCTGGGCCTGAACCTAATACCTAACACCTCACACCTCAGTGGCCAATGACGTGAACTGATCTCTCAGTACCAGTGAGCAAGAACAGATCTTTATTGATAAATAAAGTTGATACAAAGGCTTACAATAAACAGCTGTCAGTGACTCCAAAATCAGGTCCCCTTGAGGCATCTCCTCCAATTATGGCTTAGGCACACACACAGAAGGAGTGGATTAAAAGTGGTTTTCCATGATAAGGGGGAATTCAGCCTGCTAATTTCCCAGATGTCGTCTAATGATATATCACCATTTAAAAATATGTCATCTCTATTTGGGCTGCACACTCTTATTTTGGAAGTCTGTACCTATGCAAATAACTAAAGTGATCTAAATAAAGTAAAAACAATATTTAGCTCTTATGTGTTGGAGATCTTACAGTTCTGTGATTTTGAACTTCTAGGTTTGTTGCTCCAGCTCCTTCTCTTCACATCAGCCCCCAGAGAATGACCGTTCAACATCCCATGATGCAGAGACAGACTCCACAACCTCCTCACCTTCCACAGCTTGTGGGGATGCCTCTAAAGATGTACCAGCCAGCAGAAAGCCCTTCTTTTCAGCCAAATGCCCTTCACATCCAGGGTAAGAAGGGAGAACCTTCATCACTGATGTTAGTTGTTTGTTGCTATTGCTTACCTTCAAATTAAGTGCTTCAGGGACTGGCACTGATATTGTTAAGGCACTTTTCCTTGAAAGACCCTAGGTGGTAGCCTTCATAACCCTGCCTTCAGACTTCCTTAAAATGCTTGCCTTAGCCAGTTGTTATTCATCCTGGTATGGAGTTACATGTTTCTCATATTGATTTTCAGTGCTTTTCTTGACACAGAATGGCAAAAAATTCTGATGGCTTTAAATTTTCTAATGTTATACTTCTAATCCCTCCTGATATAGCACATAAGTGTTAACTTGCTTTTCAAGAGGTAGGATATTTTTGTCCCTTGCACTTATGGGGAGATGGAGAACTCTTCTTGTGTAAGCATGGAAGGCTCTTGCAGCTGTGTTCTCACTTGTGCTGTGTAATCATCTTCTACAAGACCTCTCTCTCTCTTCAATCCTGTATATTGCTTTTGTAGCCAAAGAAAAAAATCATCACCTCATGGGTTGTTTTGTTTGTTTTTCCCAGATGGTGGAGAAGGAATGCTAATTACCTTAACATTTCAGGAGTTGACAGCGGTATTGTTGTTTCCTCTCAACTGTTTAAATACATAATTTGCCATACTTACAGACACAAGGTACATAGCAGGCTGGACTTTTAAAGGTCTTAGGATTCTGCTTATTGATCAGGCTTCCTGAGAATTATCATTGTAGATATCATAGGAAACATCCTGGGAAGAGCAAGGTGTATTGCTTTTGCACAGCTTGGTTTTTGGTAGCAGAGGGGCCACAAAGATGGCTCCTGTAAGAAGCTGCCAGAAGCTTCCACCATGTCCAGCAGAGCCAATCCCTGATGGCTCTGAAAATGGACATGCTGCTGGCCAAAACTGGGCCAAGGAATGAGGTTGGTAACGCCTCTGTGATGACGTGTTTAAGAAGAAAATCAGAACAAAGTGGGCACAGTTTTGCTTCCAGTCGGAGAAGAGGAGGAGATAAGAGCATGTGTGGGAAACAACACAGCAGCACCAAGGTCAGTGCAGAAGGAGGGCAGGAGGTGCTCCAGGTACCAGAGCCGAGATTCCTCTGCAGGCCATGGTGAGAGCAGGGTGAAGCAGCTGTGCCCCTGCAGCCCATGGGGATCCACGGGGGATGCAGAGATCCACCCACAGCCCATGGGGGAGCTGCCCATGCTGGAGCGGGTGGATGCCTGGAGGAGGCTGTGGTCCAGTGGGAGACTCTATGGAGAGAGGGGGCCCTGCTTCCAGGCTGGAGCAGCCTGTCCTTGGAGGGCTACACCCCGTGGAAGAGTGACCATGCCACAGCAGTTTTGGGAGGACTGTCTGCCTGCCTGTGGGAGGGACTCAGGTTGCAGCAGGTGTGGTTTGGCTGCTGCTTGTGAGAGTGGACCCACGCTGGAGAAGTTCACAGAGAGCTGTGTCTCATAGGAGGGACCCCATGGACTCTCGGGGGAAGGACTCCTTTCCCTGAGCAGTGGAAGAAAATTTTAATGATGAACTGACCAAACCCCCCATGCCCTGCCTCCCTGTGCTGTTGGTGGGAAGGAGGGAGTGTCTGGGTGGGAAAAGGTGTTTTAAGGGCTTGTTTTACTTCTCATTAGCTTCCTCTGATTCTGTTAGTAATAAATTTCACTTTACAACCTTAAGTTGAGCCTGTTTTGCCCTTGAAGTGTTTTCTCTTGACCCTTATCTCATTCATGAACCTTTTGTTAATTTTTTTCCCTTTTTCTTCTGCTGCCCAGCTATAGCAGGGAAGGGTCACTGAGCAACCCTTGTGGGTGCCTGGCGTTAGGCCAGTGTCAAACCATGACACAAGGCTTCTTTTATTCTCTTCCACTGATGCAATCAGTCTCTCTCAGCAAAGAGAGGAAACAGGCATCTTCCTGAGTTCATAAATGTGAAGGAAAGAAAGGAAAGTGCCAATCCTGTTACATTCTTCATATTGGCCATGGAGAAGCAGGATCTGAGGCAGGTGGTTTTCTCAACAAAGTAGTAATTCTTTACAGCACTGATTAGTACTAGAAGAACATGAAATTCACCAATGGACATAAGCAGTTATAGTTGGCTTTCTATATTCTCTGATAGACGTTTCTTTAATAATGAATGTACAGCAAACAGAGTACAGCATGAAATTTCTTAATATACAGTTCACATACATGAAAATATGCCAGAACAGGTCCAATAAAATCCTAGTGCAAGGCTTGAAGGGATCAGGTTAGCCCTTCTATTTCCACAGTACAAAACATTTTACTTTGTTCCCTTTTTTGTTGAACATTTGGCAAGAAATAATCTTGAAAGGCATTGAGACATTAAGGTCTCTCTTCTTGCCTGGAAGAAAAATTCCAGTTATACAGATGGCTTTACCATCTTCTTCCTATCATGGCCATGGGAGCTTTAGGAATCCTAGAAGTTGGGAATACAACCAGTTGCTCCAAAGTAGAAGACTTTCCAAAGAATCCTGCCTCACAGGGATTCACAAATCACCCTGGATTAACTGTTGCTCCACACAGGACTTGCACTGGCTTGTGCAGCAGCCTTCATATATCCTTGGGCATCTTCTCTTCAGGCAGGCCAAAACAATGCTACTGTGTTCTCATCTCCCTCTCCTACAGTCCAAAGAGGATTAAAAAAACTAAAGATGTGGGTCATCATTCTTTATGAGAAGAAGGTCCAGTAGAGACCTTCATCTGAGTGAATGTCACATTTGAATTGAAGCCCTGTTACATGCCCAAATTTAAGATACACTTTAGTCTTCTGAGATCATAAAATGGTTGACTTTCAAGGGCTTGGACCTTAATCCTGTACCATACTTTGTCCCATGTTATCATTACTGTGTCTGCTTCACTCTCCTATGAAAGCTTATGTTGAAAATAGACACACTGCTGACAGGAATTATTTGCACACAAATTTGAACTCAAAGTTCAAATTCTAAACAATTTTGCACTCAAAACTAGCATGAAGACAATGTAGACTAAATTTTTTTTTTTTTTTTTTTTGTATTGAAACATACAGTACAGTGCAATTCAATACCCACAATGTGGGTATTAAATGTTTTTTCGAAGATCAGGTAACCTTTTGTCACTGTACAAGGTATTTTGTCAGAATGTACTCCCTCCAGCTTAAGCACAGCTGTCTCATCCTATATATACTACATTGAAAGCCTTGTCCTGTGTGCCTTAAGGGCTTACCTAAATTCTCTCTCTCATAAGCAGATGTTTGAAGAGTTTATGTTTTCCCAGGACCAATACAAAGATTGCTGTCTTCCTTGGTCAATTCATTACAATGCAGAAAAACACCATTCAGTTATCTCCATACCATACAATTATGTATACAAGAAGTGGCTGTGGGAAGTTCTGTTAATTTCTATCTCCTGCAGTTCATAACGTAGCTTTTCAAAATTTCAAGTGCTGTAACTATAGCCACTTCAACTCAATCTGCTAGTAGACAATGGTGCTAATCTGCCTCAGTATGTAGACTTAAACTTGTCAGTTCCATACAAATTCGCTTTATCAAGGAAGAAAGAGTTTCATTGCCCAAAAGCTTTTTGAAGAAAACAAGTTCTAAACAGACACAGTTTCTGAAAGCCTGAACTCTTAAAAGACCGTGGTGATCTCAGAGTACTATCCTTTAGAGAGAAATATTTATGTGATCCAAGACTGACAGCCTCCTTGTATCTAATAACTACTTGTATTGTGAAATGTCTTTTCCTTGGAAGAACATTGAATTCAAGCTTCATTATTTCTGAGTGATTTTCAACATACACAGTAATGTCAGAGAGGGCTTTCTATTGCCTCAGTTAATATTACATAATTAACAAAATATTGCCTTTTCTTGCTCTTGTGAAATTCCCAATATCCTTTGCTGCATGGAATGTTCAGAATTGATGTTAGATGCCTCACTGAGCTGTAGAAGCAAAGCTCTTCTTTTCCTTTCATTAGATTGTAGTATCTTTTACTGTATTACCATTCCATAAATCTGAAACTATCCTGACTTGGAGACTGGAATGACAGCTTCCCCAGCTAGATGCTGTTGTATGCCAATGTAATATGTGTTTGTAGACAGAAAATCTGCAACAATTTGCCCAGCACCTGTATTGTACTGGTGATTCTTTTCAACCATGAAAAACTACTCTCAGGAGAGGTGTCTGAAGACACAGGCACCTACAGTCCTCAGGCAGATGCCAGAATATGGTATTGCTTCTCTTCATCACAAGCCAGAAGAGATGTGCTAGGTATGAAAGGAAAGACCAGCAACAGAAGTTCTCTCTTCACAGTGAAAAAATTTATTGTGCTGTGTAGTAAAGGTAAAACTTTAAAACTAAAAAGTAAAGGTAAAACTTCCTTGGGCATGGGCAAAGCTGACTTGCTTTTGGATGCATCTGATACTGTGAACATTTTTGCACTAGAAATCTGGTTGTTCTTTAAAATGGTGTCTGTAACTCTGCTCACATGTCTTTGTGAGTTAAGCTGATGAACAGAGCTGTCTGAGTTATGAAAGAAATAAAAAAAAAAAAGCAAAATATTCATTTAAAGAAAAGAAAAAGTTATCATTTCTTTTAAAAAATTGTTAGCTTATATGAGTTAGTTATATTAGTGCCTCTATACAGACAGGTCTACTAGCTATCTTTAAATTAAAAATAATAATATTTCAATAAACAAAAACATTTCTATTTTTTCACATTTGCAAATTTGTCTGTTAGTAGTTTGTGACTTGGATCTCTCTCTGACTCTTTCTTTTCCTTTTGTTCTTCATAGCCAGATGGTACCACATGATTACATGGTATTTGAGTAATTTGCCTAGTGGACATGCAGAAATATACTGCAAAGAAACACTATCTTGAAGTATTTCAGACCAAAGACAGCTGGAATTTTTACATGCTATAGAAGCAAAGACTACTCATGCATGGCATATATTTCTGAATGGCAACTATAATGATTTTCTTGAGAAAATATTCTCTCTTTCTTGTGACAGGTGGAGAGATGACTGAGGAGGAAATAGATGTCCATCAGAAACTTCCTACCATATGGAAATTATAATTGTGGCAGTCATTAATTGCATATCTATAATGAAATCTTTGTCCACAACAGTTCAATAGGATAAGGACGCTATTACAAATGTGTGTGGACCACAACTGTACAAGTGAATTTGAGCTGAGCTGTCTACCAGGGCTCTTTAGAACGAGCCTTCAGAACAAGACTCTTTATCTTATAAAAAAACAAGAACTTGTTTTAGAAACAATTCTACAGTTTACACTTCTATCATTTTCAAAAATATTTCACTATTCTGGGGAGTTTATGCTGTCATGTCAGAATAGCTGTTTGTTTCTGTACCTTGATATCATGAATCTTGGCTGTAGTGTACTGATTCAAAGAAACACAGCTAATATAACCTTGTGCATGTGTGTGTTTTAAATAGTTTAATAAGAGACAAAATATTACAGTCCAGAGTTGCAGCTGAAATGTTCACTTGCCGGAAATTTATTAGCCAACCTGTTTGCCCATTTTTTTTGGTTTTTCCAGTGCTGCATGAAAACACAGAAAACTGATGGTACAGTTAGTTCCCTAATAGATATCTCAAGTATGGTCAGGGTCTGCTGCCTGAATTGGATATGGTTTCATGTTATCCTGCATTCAGCTGTATTGTAGAATATCTTGGGCATGACGCTGTGTGAATAAAGACACCAAGTTAGGAGAATTTGCTGTGTCATGTTCCTTAGAACTGGTCTCCAGTTCTAAGAGCTCTGCACTGTGGCTTGATGCACTGCAGATGCTCACAAAGACATTTAGAATAGTGCTAAATAACTGAAGGGAAGAGAACCACATATGCTTATTTCTTGTTTATGACTCTCTGTTTTTAAAGATGGACAATTGACACTGAATTGTGAAAATAACTTGTATGTAGGAAAGTTACACTACTTTTCTGTGCTCTCATTCCATCATAAAAAATTTTTGCTTAGAGTCTCTATGCATGACCCTACTATCAGCCAGCTGTCTTGGCATAAGTGATAGATACTTGGATTTTATTCAGGCTTTACTTGCATAATCTTCTTTCCTTTTGAATTTAACATTTTCTTAGATTTTCAGGCAGATGCACAGTGTGATGCAGGAGAGCACCGGTTCAGGCACAGGACAGAGAGAAATGTCCTGAAAAATTTCACCTTCTCACAGGCCATGGTGGAATCAGGATGTCCATGTAGTAGATTGTGTTAGAAACTAGCAGGAACCTGAGGAAGTTTTAGGGAGCATCATATCAATACTTCTTTATTTGTTTAAAATTATTGAAGACCTGATGGTAGGGCAGTTGAGGTTTTTATCATTCTCATGGCCATGGTTCCATATACTATCCTTTTTATCTCTGTCCAGGTCTTTTACTGATAGCCTTCTTCTCATTCTAGGTTTTTGTGGGCAGCTTCAGACTTTCTGCCCTCCACAATATGCTGACACTCAGAAGAACCTACAAGACAGTGTTTCTTGCAATATGGCTCCTCCTGTTGACTGCTCAGCTCTCACATCAGCAGGCCAGGGAGGGCTTGGCATTTTCCATGGAAGTTTTTCAGATCATTCTGGTATCAAAGGTAAATAACAGCTGGGCACTTCATGTATGATTGTGTAGAGTTTGTGAACTTTGGCAGATGTGCATGAGCTGTGTATTTGGCATTTGGATGGGACATGTCATGACAGATTTGACTTTTTACAAAGAGGAGATAGTTTTCAGACCTTCATGGAGCAGTTGGTGTTGGGAGGCTGGAAGTTGCCATAGGTGACAGTGACAACTGGCCTGTGTGCAATCTGAACACTGCTGAAGGCTTCTCAAGGTTATAGCCTGTGGGGCTTAGAGAGTCTCTGGCTTGTGTATTTGAGCTGAAATACAGTCCATTGAGCTTTCTGTGATATTTGTGCAGCCACTCCATTCCACATATTGTGGCAGGGACCTGAGATTATTCAAACTACTGATTTTGCTTGGTGCATGTTTGTTTTTTATCAGTCTTGAATTTCATTTATTCATGTTTCCATGACAAAAACTGCCTGGATGCACACGCATCTGTGTGCATGTAACTTAGTCTATTGCTAGATGAAAAGTACTTAAGGGGCTTGCATGCTACTCTGGAAGGCTGAAAGATCTCTTTGCAAAGTGAGCCTAATCTTGGTGCTCAACTAATGCCCAGGTCTTTTACTGTCCTTCCACGCAGGATGCATCCACTTAACATTTATTGTGCTTTGAAGTCCCTCTTATGTCTTGGTCCTTCAGAAGTGTATTGCAAATACAGTGCACCTGTAATTACAAAGAGGAATCTCACAGTATGTAAACATGTTATCCAAAAGATGGGACTGTGTCTCAGTTATTCTTGGGCTTACTATTGTCACTTGTAAAAGGCAGTAATTTCTGTGCCAGGGTCTACTTTATGGCAATATTCTACAACATTTTGTTGTCTTTTATCCTGCATTCAATATGCTGAAATTTGTTAAACAAGTGTGAAGTTTATTTTTAAAATGATCACAATTTTAACACCCATTAAATGGGGAGGTGTTAGTTGCAATGAAATCTGCTCTACTTCAGGCTTGATTCTGAGACAACTGAAAATTCCTCCCTTGGTAAGCAGTAAGTTGTGTAATTAATTTCATACACATATTGGCTTGTTTTTTTTATTTGTGTATTTGATTTAAAACCATTTCCAGTTCTATGCATAAGTATTAGGACATACTTCATTATATTCTTATCCTACTTATTAACTGGGGCTTTTTTGTTTTGTTTCTTCTCCCAGTGTATGACTTTCCTGCACGGTCTGTAGGTATCGTTGGTGATGCAGCTTGCAGCATGCCAGAGGACAGCAGTTTCCTACAAGTAAATGCAGTGGATCATTGTTCCAGCCAGCTTTCTTCTGTATACACTGAAGGCTAAAGTAATGTATATCTAGATACAAGAACTTGATTCTGTTTCATCTTGCCCTTCTGTTATTTCCCTACAAATTTTTTCTCTCCATGAAACTGCCATGTATGTATGGGGATATGAATAGATATACATACATAATGGAGAGGAAAAGCGTCTTCATTTAATCAAGCAGCCAGCTGAGAAGGAGAATGTTTGGAGAAAGTAAGCTTTGCCAAAACCTTTGCAATTGTTTATTTTCTTTTCATCTGTGGTACAGCAACTATACTTTTAAAATTATTTCTTCTTTTAATTTCTCAAAGGGAATTCAGAGGCCAAATAATAAAACTGGTTGTTGGCTGTAATCCTTTCAAGCTGGATGGCTGCACTTACAGAAGAATACAGCTTTAGAAAATTTCTTTTTCAAAAAAGGAAAAGCAAAACCAGAGCATACTACAAACATTTCAAAGGCATACAGTTTTTGCACAGCCTATCTGCATGTGATAGTTCCAAAGTTTAACATACGCCAGTATCCAAAAGGGAGAGAAGTTAAACATATATATAGGCACTACCTATTGGAGGCATTGGTGTGGCTTTTTGGATCGTAGGTTGTTGGTAGAGAATTTCTTACAGGCCTCAGGTTAGGAGTCCTTTCCTTCCCTCTTTATTTTAAGCCACACATTATGGCTATTATTGTTTTTCCAGTATTAATTCTGACCCTTTAAGCATGAAAAAGGTGGTTTAAATACACAAGAAGTTACATGGGCTTTGTGTCTATTTAGCACATCTACCAGATAAGCATAAATGCATTTTAACTTTCAGTTGCTTTTTAATTAGATTGTAGAGCATTGTTGCTGTATGTGCTATAGTCTTCATCAGGAAGATTTAAAATCTTTTGTAGGAAAGATTGTTCCTTAAATTCCACTTTTTTTTTCTTTTTTTTTTCTTATTTTTTTCTTTTTTTTTTTTTTAATGCTATTTGTACTGATTCAACTAAACTTTGGTTGTCCTAATATTTTTCCATAACACATTTTCAGAAAGAATTACTCTTAAGTGTACTATGATTCCTCTGGTTACTTAGAAAGATAAAACTGGACTGGTTTGGTGGTTTTGATTTTTCTGGTCAATGTCAGGCTCAAGGTCCTCAAATTTAGTGCAGGATGCAAGCAAACTAGGTTATCCTTCATAAAACATACAAGGTTATGAGTTAAAACCAGTATTTTGCATTGGAGATATCATCACTGTGATCCTCTATGCCTTGAGAACAGCTCTTACATTAGTAAGACTGAGTTTTTAGGTTTTAAATCCTGTTCATCCATTTTGTGGTCTTCTTACTGTGTAGTGTACAACATAATATTCTCATGACCTGATGGAGTAAGGACAGAAAAGTTCATCCTTACAGGCTGGACCATAACTATGCTTCAGAAATAACTCTTCCAAAAAGATAAAATAAAAATGTTTATGCAACATTTGTTTTTCCTGGCAAACTTCTGAGAGCTGTTAAATCCAATTTGGGTCCAGTTCATAATTTAGTCTGCAGTTATGTGGAATAGATTAATTTATGTCCAGATGTTTGTGAACACTGGCAATCTTTTGAGGTTTGTATTCAGGAAGTATATTCTTATGTGCAGTCATCTGCTTAAATATTTAATGGAGAGATTTTCATCTGATACATAGACTATATGGATAAACCATGCACATAAATGAAGTACAACAAGAAGGGATTAAAATGCAGCTAATTCTGTGCTAAATTCTTCACCCATACATTCTGTTTCTCACATCACAAGAGAATGTGTCCCTCTGCTCCAGCTTTCACTAGGAGGTCTAGATGTTACCATATGTGATTTGCATTGGATTAAAAGACACCAGGCATCCTTCACAGCTATACACATGCAATCAGAAAGACAGTCCTTTTGCATAATGTGCATTGACTGCAAATTTTGCTTTTTAATAAAACTTTAATTTTATACTGCCTTAAAGCCCATTCTGTCGTCACCACACAAGCGTAACTTACTTCAGTAGGAATAATTAGTCTCACTGAACACTTCAATTTCAAATGTGTGGAAATGTGTTTTGTTCCACCAAAGTCAGCAAGGGCAGGATCAGACTACGTGTGGACATATGCGTGTACCTATATACTTCCCTATTTATAAATCCTTCAAAATTCTTTTAACCATGTGGTTGTCCAGAATTTGTCCATTGCTGTTTACAAAACTAAAATATTGTTGCTATCTTCAGATCTGTACTATCTTGACTTTTAAACTTTTTGAAATATTTTTTCTAGTATCTGAATGTACAAGTTGTTCTGTAGAGTTGGGGAATTATCCATTTTGAAACATGCTGACCAAAGGGAAAGTGGGAGTACAGAATTCAAAAAGGGCATTTTCAACTTGGGGGTTCATCAGTTACCTTCAAAAAAGGAAACTTTTGCAAGTCATTAATTCATTCTTTCACATACATATAATACATATATATATATTTACAACTTTCCATGAGCCTTAATCTTAAAAAGAAGGCCCTAGAGAACAGTCAAATCAAGTACATGAATATGGTCTGTAAAAAGGTAGGCCTTTGTTTACTTCTCATTCAGAGACAAAGAGGATTCTTCACTATTATTTCATTATTCTTTTTGGAGTTGGACTGACTTCGTGACATCAATTTAATCGCTGAGGGCAATTGCATAAAAAGCCCCATTGTATCTCATGTATATTGGATATTTAAATAGGGAATCCTGTTTGTCACAATCAAAAATGGTGCTGGAGAAAATACAATTTTGTGGGTTATCTGCATAACTGAGTTATTCGCAAATACTTGTGCCTCAGTGAGTTTTGTGTTGTTATTCTACTTGCTGTACTGTTAACTTTCTAAAGGGATTCATATCTAAGAGATGAAGTTATTTTAGACTACAGACATTAAACAATATTCAAAATAAATTATTTACAATTATTCTTTTATACAATGTAACTCTTTCCCGACTCAGTGATCTATTTATATCTGCATTAGAAATGATTCTACACTGGAGCTTAAAATACAGTTTCAAAGTGCATGTGTACAAGTGGAAGTGTATGAGGGTGCACGTGTGGATTTGAGGCTCCCTTTCTATGTGTGTGTACACACAAATATGTAGGCATTGTGGTTTACTACTACCAGAGGCTGAAGAATGGCAGTGCTAAGGCCATCTCACACTGTGTATTGTTTTCAGCTTTTCTTGAAAAGATGTGAATGCATATAAAAACTACATTTTAACTGTTTATTCCCTGTTTTCCCTGTGTAATTTTATAGCAGAATTTTTAAATGGCACTTTCTTCTTGTTTGTCTGAAATTTTGTTCTTGGTTTGGGGCTTTTTGTATATATATATGTAATTCCTTGAAGCAGTTAAATCAAAAGATAAAGACCACAAATTAAAATTAGCTGAGTTTTTATTTAAGAAAAAGAAATCCTTTTGTTCTGTACAGAAAGCAGCATCTGTACAGAAAACAGCATCTTGTGTAATATTTTTTACACAAAGCACTTTGGTGAAGAGAGAAAGTGGGATTATGTTTTTCCTAAAGGTTACAGAGTAATCTACATATTTATACATGCTTACATATATACATATGATCTTAATTTGCCATACTGTATATCTGGCTGATATATCTTGCTCTAAAGAAATGTCTGTTGCACGTCATGAAAAAAACAAAAATTCAAAAGAGTTACACCTTTTGCTTTACTAGTATGTGTAGTTTTGTGATTTTTTTACAGTTATTTTTCATACAATCATAAGTTATTTTTGTCATGTTTCATAACATTCTGTTTTATGTAAAAGGTAAAAGTGAAAGGTGTGAGTGCATGGTACAAAACAAAACTGGAAAATTGTAACTCCATTACATTACCTGTAGAACATATTATTGTGAGATGCCTTTAAAGAGAGCTGCTCCAGGCACTGTCCTTCACCGTAAAACTACTAGTACTTGTATGGGTTTATAGAATTAGAAACAGAAATAGGAAACAAACTCTTGGAGATTTCTCAAAGAAATCCACTTGACTCAAAGTTTTAAGTCTGGATTTAATTATTGTTTTGGTGAGGCTAGAGATGTGTAGAGATAAATGAATGTCTGGGTGTGTGTTTACACCCTGGGTGGAGACACAAATAAAAGAAGAAAATTTAATTATATTTTTGTGCTGTGTTAATTTTCAATTTTTATGGGTTTCTTTGGTCATGTGATTTGACAGTACAACATATCAAGGTATTTTGCTTTTTTTGTTATTGTTTCTAACATACTCAAGCAATTAAATTATTTCAGAGCACTTAATGTAAGGAAAAGAACATTTTTTAAACTGCACTAGACAAAATGAAAACAAAAGGCAGAGACAGAAGTTGATGCATTCTTACGTCCAAAATACATCCTGAAAACCAGCATGGTTAGGAGATAAGAAGTTACCTCACACCACACCCACATATTGGGCTAGAAATCAAAAATACAAAATAAAATAACTGAGTGCAGAAAAATCCTGTTACAGGACTGTAAAGAGACCTTTTAAAATAATGGTTCTAATTGATCTTACTGTGAAATTATTGACATGGTTGGCTCTGTGTCAACCATGAGCAGATAAAAAACTACTAAGCACCCAGTCACTGACACTTATATACGTGATCCCATAAGGTTTTGCTAAAAATAAGCTTTGCCCAGTGCAATCTTATTTACCCTGCATCTTAATTTAATATAGGAAATATGATCCATGGTTTAGCAAATGTTGTTAGTGAGTTCCATAAGCTATCATGAAGAACTGAGAGTTGCTGAATTCAAGTGTTCCAATTTTTTTTTTAATGGAGAGCTATTAAAATGAGAATATACAAGAAGTATACAAGAAGAATACAAGTTCCATATGCAGCAGAAAGTAACATGGCTCAATATATCTCAAAGCTGTGTGCTTTTTCCTGTGTGCTTGAGCTGGACCAGTGTATCATGATGTCCTGAAAACTATCCAATAGAAAAGCAGTCATTATTATGTCATTATGTGGCAGGTATATTCCTGCAAAGAACAATAATTTCTGAATGAAAGTTACCTAAACTACTTCAGAACAGAATTATTTTTTGAAACATCAGAAATTCTTACAAGATAAACATTTGGGGCATGGGAGAGATTACATTAATTCATTGCATTTTTAATTACAGCTGTGAGTTCTCCCATGTGCCAAAGCCCACTGTATTCATGAATTTATATCATCTCTGCCCTAGTGGAAAATACTGCAATAAAGCTTTATGTACAGCAATATCCTTCAATAAGAGGGGGAAAAAATAAACATAATTCTTCCATTCTGAATATTTATCTACTTGTACTTACTGCACCTAATTACATGATACCTTATATTTGCAGATAAGAATGAAAATGTCTTTATGAAAACAAAACTGACTATTTTCCTAGACCATGTTCCTCAGGAAAATTCTTGCCATGATCCTCAAGAAAATGCTTCTCTTTCAAACTTGCTGTTTCCTACCCTGGATTACTTTGTAACTCCAAGTATCATATATATGTTTTGAATTCCCTGATTTTTAGACAGTGTCTGTTACCCACTGTAAATATGACTTCTTGAAAAGCAGTTTTAAATTTTTTCTCCCATAATGGATAGTCTTAAAGTGGACAACTTTGCATGACTGTGTGTACTTACTGCAATGAACTACAAGAAACAGAATGGTAATATCAATCTTACAGAATGAAAAATGTTAGCTCTTTTAAGGTTCCTATGTCTTCTTCCAAAATGTTAATTTATATTTTTCCTTCACCTTCCTTAAAACTATAATGTTCTCATTTAAAAGCTAAGTATGAAAAATCATTCTACCACATCTTCCCATGCCATTTATAGAT